ATCATGTGGCATCTCGTGATCATTGAGGCTGCATAAGCTGCTCTTGTATGCACTTCCAATTTGGCATCAACTGTCATTTTATGTTTCTTATAGATTTCGAGTCGATGCATCCATGATGAAAGCTGTACTTCTATGGGAATTCTATGATTCTATTTTTAAAAAATGTTAAAAGATTTAACTCTTAATAATGTGCTCAATTAATATTTAAAAAACAAAACATGTTATTTCATGACTAATCTGCATAATTTTATTTACATCCCAATTGTAACAACTACGAGTAATAGTATTTTTATTATTATTCAGTTTAGATATTCTTATTTTGATGCTAGAATAACAAGTAGTATATTATCATGTAGCGTAAATTATGATTTAACTTTTGAAAGATTTAAATTGTAACAATTATAATAATTTTTTTGACATTTACTATTTAAGTTTTATATGAGCCCTCATATTTTAAGTTATTAAAATGAATAGTTGGTGAATAATGAATTTGGACTATCAACTATATTGATAAGATGTGCGTAAAACACATATTTGCTATGAAATAATACTCTGCCCTATTTGTATACGTGATGTGTAAGGTATGCATTGATGGGATATATGAAGCTCGAGAATTATTCGGGAATGAATTATTAGATCTTTGGAAATTGGTGTTTAAAATTTCAAATAAAAACATTTTATATTTTATTATTTTTAATTGAAAAATTGAAAATAAAATGAACAGTTAAGGTGAATAGAAGAGCAGAACGGATGTATCTATTCAAACAAGTTACTAAAAGTCAAAATTAGAAATTTCATATGTTTATGTTATTATAATTTGTTAAAATTGGGTAGTGACCCGAATTCTTGTCGAGTATTTGATTGAAAATGTTGTTGGAGTATTCAGAGTTGGTAGTAGAAGTAAATACGAAAAGGAAAAGATTTCTCAATTTGACAGTTTATCGCTTCTATTTCAACTCAAATACTCCGTTATTGGTTTTACCTATCGTAATAGAACTTCACCTTATATTAAACTCTTCATCGTATTATATTATGTAGTATATTAGGGATTCTTGTATTATAAATATGTGATGTATTAGACATATTTATTTGATTGACTCAAAAAGTGATCCATGGGGATTCAGGTTAATAAAGAGAGACTTGCAAATAGAGATATCGGGAGATAGTTTTTGAGATCCTTATTAAAATATTATAATTCTTTACTTTTGATAGAGTAAATTCTTCACATTCGTCCACGATTTTTTTTTCCTTAGATTTTCACGTAAATCTTTTGTTCCTATAATTATTATTTTCCTATTGCCTATGTCTCGCCTTTAATATTCATAACAATCGGCTCAATTTCTAACAAGTTGTAAATTGGTATTGCTTTATTCCTAACAAGTAGTATCCTAGTTAGGTTCAATAGTTCCTAGGAGAGCTTGTTTAGTCTCGTACTAGAACGAGGTTTAATCAACTTAGAACAATATTTGATTGTTTTGGGATTGTTAGTATGTGCTTGATATTCTGCATTTTGATCACAAAAAGATTTTAGGTTAGGGTAAATTTTTTTTCGGACACTAGAGGAGAAGAAACGTAAGCATCGAGTTGTTATAAAGGGACATAAAAGGTCTCAGTTATATGTCTTAAAAGGTTCGACCATCTAAACTAAAGAAAAAAGATATTAGACCTCAAAAGAGGTTGACTTGGTTATTTATGGTTTGACAAGCGTTGACTTAGATGGAGTTGATTGTGATCGGATTACTCATGGTGATAATTTAGCAAATTTGATGTTGAAGAACCTACCACTAGCTCAGGTGAAGTTAGCTGTGATCTTGTTGTTTGTATGGATAATTCGAGCAAATTTGTTAATTTGGATGGAGTTAGATGTAAACTTGATGATTTTGTTGTTTATAGTGATTCGATCAAGTTTTGTACTCAAGGTAATTTTGTTGTAAGCAATGCTGGATTCAGTTCACAGTTGTTGAGTTTGCCCATAGGCTTCATGGAAAATGTGGAGTCATTTGTTTGAAGTGTTCTATTTGGAGAATTTTTCAGAGTTTGTGGAAGAATTAAATATTATTCCTTTCAGAGAAATTTGTCTTCAGGTAGAGAATTTTGTTGAAAGTTGAAGTTTTGTTTCTTGCAATAGAATTCGTGTCAAAGTGGTGATTTGTTAGAATTGGACACTCACATGAATTCTTATCCAGTATTTGATTGAAGTGTTCTATTTGTTAGAATTGGAGTCATTTGTTTGAAGTGTTCTATTTGGAGAATTTTTCAGAGTTTGTAGAAGAATTAAATATTATTCCTTTCAGTGAAAGTTGTCTTTAGGTAGAGAATTTTGTTGAAAGTTGAAGTTTTGTTTCTTGCAATAGAATTCGTGTCAAAGTGGTGATTTGTTAGAATTGGACACTCACATGAATTCTTATCCAGTATTTGATTGAAGTGTTCTATTTGTTAGAATTGGAGTCATTTGTTTGAAGTGTTCTATTTGGAGAATTTTTCAGAGTTTGTAGAAGAATTAAATATTATTCCTTTCAGTGAAAGTTGTCTTTAGGTAGAGAATTTTGTTGAAAGTTGAAGTTTTGTTTCTTGCAATAGAATTCGTGTCAAAGTGGTGATTTGTTAGAATTGGACACTCACATGAATTCTTATCGAGTATTTGATTGAAAATACTGTCATAGGAATATTGGAAGTTGGTATTAGACTTGGAGAAGTCTTGAAGAAATAAAAGACGACAAGCAGATATTCTCTCTATTTTGACAGGTTTTTTCTCCTATTTCAACTCAAATACCCTGTTATTGGTTTTACCTATTGTAATAGGACTTCACCTTATATTAGACTATTCATCGCATTATATTTTACTAGTATGTCAGGGATTCCTGCATTACAAACAAGTATTTGACACCGTTGGATGGTCTGTACAACTGATATAAAGCTATAAATGGCTTTTTTCTGTTTGATTCTGAGCAAAATTTACTTTTGTAGGTTTGCATGCAAATTGGAATGGATCATTCGAAACGTCCTGGCCAGGGACAGAAATGGTTTCCTGTCGAAGGAAGCCAATAGACACTGTTTTGAAGGAAGTGTGTTCGAGTATTGTGGCAGGATCCCAGTGGAAGCAGAGGAGAAGATGAAAAATGAAGAAATTCTAATTGTTGCTTTCTGGAATAACGTATAATGTACCCCAGTTCAAGGTGTTAGTCACTTGAAGACTTTGTTTAAGAGTTCTTCAATTTTCATCTAAGAGTTTGTCGAGGATATGTGCATATGCATTGTTGCTTGATCAATAAGATTTAGTTTACTAGTATTTTGACACTGGCAATTTGTTACGACCATGTTGTATGGTATCCAATATCAATTGAATCCGAGAATTTGCAATTTTTTAGGGCATCATTGATTTCCTATATGCCCTTCGAAGGAATTAAAAATATCATATCATCAAACCAGCACACAAGCTGGTCAAATTTTTATTTTCATTTAATAATTCAGTTCTTGGATTTTAAATACGGATCGGAAAAATCTGAAAAAGAAAAAGGGGAAAAGAGGTTTCTTTTTCCTGCAATTTATGCAAACAAAAAAGTTTGTAAGGTTTAAGCAACATAGTAGAGGGGTTTGAGACGCTGAATGTCCTTTTCGCTGCTCCATTGATCTCCTAAAATGCCCCAAAGGCGATATCTACTGTTTATGAATTTCTTTCTCACATCAGCCTTGAATTTTTGGGTGTTCTTCCTTTGATCATCTTCGCCCCTAAATTAAACCAAACATGTAATTATTCATTTATAAGTTGTAAGTGTTATGCCCTAGATCCAATCGATTTAGGTTGTAAACGCTTTTAATATATTTAATGCATTTGATTTTGGCGAGATCTATTATTTATTTAAATTAATTTTGTAATAAATAATATTAAATAATAGAATTCGAAGACCCAATTTTTAGGTAATCTGTTAATCACAAGGAGTTGTGATTGTGAGATACAAATTACATATAATTGGATCTTGAATAAACCATGGTCGTAAGTAATAACGAGATACGGATATCGTTAATACAGTTAGACCATCACGTGTGGCATTTCTTACTTATGAAGTAAGTAGCTGATCTCACGAGCTAAAGTGTGGTGACACTTAAATGAACATGTGGATGTTTTGTTGTAGAACAAAACATTGGAGACCCGCTAAGAGATTCCACATGGATAACTATCTGAGTGTCAGTGGCTAATCTCTAACGTTCGGTAGTGGCAGATTCAAGCTGCTGGAAAGGAATAACGCGAAAGAGTTTGCAAATCACACAAAAGGTATATTTCTCATCACAGTTTTTATCTAAATACAAAGCTGAATCCTGAATGGGAATTGAAATCTGTTAAATTCCGCTGTGCATGTTTAAATCAATTCCCAACATAAGTTACTTTTCACACGTTTACGTGAACCATATTCACATACCACCACATTATCTGAAAGTTTTAGATAGTCGACGAACCTTAATATGAAACTTGTCCAGCCATGATAACTCACATCAACAAGGTTATCACTACACCAAAAATGGTCATTTGCAACACATAAAAGGCAACGTTCGATAGTTAAGTGTTGCTAAAGGGATCTACCGCAACATTTTAATAAGTGAATGTTGCCATTGATTAAAATAATTGAGTTTTGACAACATTTTTTAAATAGATATTGCTAATGATTCATTTTGCAAAGTTTATTGAGTGTTGCGAAAAGTTCCATCTTTCGCAACACTCAATAAAACATTGCGAAAATATTCTTTTGCAACGTTCATTGGACTTTGCAAAAAGTGTAACGTTTATTGAACATTTTTTCCCAACGTCTGATAAACGTTGTGAAAAGTGAACCTTTTGCAACTGGCAAACGTTGCAAAAAGAACCTATGCGCAACATTTATTGAGTGCTGTAAAAGGTTCTATTTTTGGTAACAGTTAATAAATGTTGTGAAAACAGTCAAAAAAAATTCTCAAATAAAATAAATGATAAAAACCCAAAATAACTCAAATCCTATTCTCTTTCATGTATTCTCTTTCTCGCCTCTCTCCATTCATCCCTCCCCAAGATGATGATCTGTAGCATGTATATTGATAATATGAGCTCAGATTCATTATAGTTTTGATTGTTTGCGGAACCCTCTTTGCCGCTATAAGGGCCCCAATTTTTAAGGTACTGATTACCCTGCGTTGGCTGTCGTGCTTAAGACTGAAGAAGACTTTGATTCGGCGGCGCTGGGGGTGGAGGAGCGAATGTACTGTTACGATGGATGGAATGGCCTGTACGAAAGCCATTGCAGTTATCCGTCTACAACTCCGCCAGAAAAGGGTACAACTTTTACTCTATCGAGAGAGAAATTAAAACCCCAAAACAGAAACTGAATTTACAATTGGAAAATTTTAACGAATTTGGATAATTGAGATGTAGAATTCGGGCTGGAAAATTCTAATTTTGAAACCTTAGAGAAGAGAATTGCTTAACTCCAAAACCCAGGATCAAAATTAAAACCTGAACTCAATTAGAGCTTGCCTATACAGAATTGAATGTGTTCATTTATTTAAATTTGGCATTCCGCTCTTCTACATTATTCATTACAATTCCACATTTTCATTTTATCGTGTGGAATTTATGTGGAATGTGTGTGTTTTGTTTATACAAAAATATCTTCAGAATGTGTGTGTACAATTCCTTTTCACCCGTCATAATAATTTGAAGTAATTGCAAGTGCCTTGTTCTCAACTGGTTATTAAATTGGAGTTGCACATCTTCAAATCAAGATTTATTTGGGTGATCAGTGATATAACAAAATTCGGGCATTCTATTTTTGTGGGACCCCAAAACTTGAGCTTCATTTCATACTATTTGCTTCATATTTTCTTTTTTTTAAATTGATCTCCAAATCTGTACAGGGATAATGGAGGTGCCAACGACATAAAAATATTTACAATTACCAAAATTTGTAAATTAACATAAATTTTGCTCCTTGCATTGTGTATCACCTTTTCAGATTTCAGCTTCCATGGTTATTGTTTTTCATGCTTGCTCTTAAGTTAATTAAATAGTCACAGCTTTGTGTTTTCAATTTCTAAGTTTCAATTAATCGTCTTCTTTGCAGGAGCTGAGTCAAGAAGAAAGGTAATGACTTGATCACTGCTATGCTTACCGAGGGTCTTCGTTCTGTATGAATCATAAGTTGAAATAAAACAAAATTTGTTCAAGTCAAATAACATAAAAAAAGGTGCATGAAGGGCGTGTGCTTGGAATTTGAATTAGAAACGATTTAATTCTAACTTGAATTAATTTCAAGGCTCTTGTTATATGCATGGAATATATCATATTAATTTAATCCAACAAACTTGTATTTTTATACATTTTGCAATTTTTTTATCTTTATTTTTTGTATGTCTAAACATTATATCTCCCGTAAAATTCTGCTCCATTTATAAGTTCAATATTTTTTGGTTGGTAGTAAATAATTTGTTTTAAACTAGTTTCTTTAGTTTATTCGTCTTCAACAAAACTTTTTTTTAAAAAAAAATTCCATTTTTCTTTAATGGGAGGAGGGGCTTGAAAAAACAAGTTAAGTTCCTTGGTTTAACGTTAATTTGACTTGGATTGAAAGTGGAAGTTCAAAAATTGAATCAGTCATGCAAATTAACGTTAATTTGAATTGGCATCATAGAATGCGTCAATGTTTTGCTGTTTTTCATCTCATTTGTTATCCTTGACATTATTTGATTAGTTATTGGAGCAGTGTGTCATACATTTTAATAATGTCACATGCTGGTTGTTTATTTTTGTTTTGTTCATTTTGAAAAGGTCACATATTACTTGTTACTATTATTTTTTTTGGATTGTTTTGATGCAAATTTCATGTTAAACACTTGAGTTAGATAGACTGCTTTTGCATTCTACCCTAGGGACCTTGTCACTGACTCATTGCATTGTAGTTTTATTCTCAGCTGAATTTTTTTATTCATTATAATGTAGAAGTGTGGAATGCTAACCCCTAATTGTTTTAACCTTTGTGGAAATTCTACATCACAAAACCTAAACGTAACCTTTGTTCATTCAATTCTCAATGGTAAGAACAAGGTCAAATTTTGTAACAATGTAGGAACAACGTTCAAGTTTTATTCTTGGTTTATTCAAAAGAAGTGTAGTTGATGGTTTTGCATCCATGTCTGTGATTATAATTCTGGTGAAAGTTTTAGAGGAAAGAGAGTTGTAGTTGTGGGATGTGGGAATTCAGGCATGGAAGTCTCACTTGATCTTTGCAACCGTGATGTGATTTATGGGTTTTCTTTTTTAGGTTCTTGTATTGTCAATGGTTCTTACTTATTTTTCTTTACTTTTCTTCTCGATTATAAATGATACAAATGTCTAAAATGTGGTATCTATCTTTTTCTCCTTTTTCATAGGCTAGTACCGATGTTCAAATCACAACTCATGTTGAAGATTGCTGAAAAGAAAATTAAGAAGGCCGATAGGGTGGGTTCACACACTACTAAGTTAGTCGGTTTTTTTTTTTTTTTTTTTTTGGGGAAAATGTATTGGATTTTTAGGTGTTTTAGAATTTTTGATCTAGATTTTGTACGAATATTGTTATATTTTAGAGTTAAATTAATAATGATTATTGGAGTTATTTGATATAATTATTTTCTATTATATTTAGTGGTTGATATATGTGAATCATTCTACTCTTAAAAAAAAAAAGACCCACGGCAACGTTTGTTAAACGTTGCAAAAGCCTATATTTTGTACGTTTAACAAACGTTGCAAAAACTCTTCCCTCAATGGTAGCATCGACATTTGCAATACACGGTAAAACGCTGCAAAAGGTTTTTTGCAGCGTTTTTTGACCGTTGTAAAAACCTATTTTTGGTGTAGTGTTTATTATAACAATACGGAGAGAAAATTATAACATAACAATTTTTTTTTGAACAAAACTGAATGAAGATGTCATTATTTATAGGTACATATCATGCCATAAAGATGGAGAAAATAATGTGGAATTAAGAAACTAATATTTTTTCCAATAAAATCACGTGAAAATAAGGAAACAATATTTTTCAATAAAATTACGTGAAAATAAGGAAATAACATTTTCTAAAAAATCTCCCTAATTTGGGGCACAAAATCTATCAATCTCCACTTCAACCCAAATTTCGATGCAACGAACAAAGCTCCAAAATTTCTCCACCTGAGAAATAAGTCCATCTGTAATGAAATAGTCAAAATCCTCAACAGTAACCAGAACTCTCTATCACCAAAAACATCTTCCTCTACATGGTGTCCACGCGCAACACCTGAACCCTACTCCTGGGTTCCCAAAAATTCCACCTAGGAATTACTATTGACCAAACAAGGTTAAAACACATACTATAGCAGAAACCATACCAAATGCCTGATTAGAAGGCCCCTTGTTAGAACTGTCACCTTCAACGATCTCGAAAGCATCATTGACTTCACCGGCACCATCATACCTACGCTCAATGGATCCAACCTTAGCAACTGAACACAGTGTATCCACTGAAATTGATGGCAAAATAGAATCACCAACACTACCCTGAGCAATGTTTTGAACAGACCTAAAGCCCGACACAAGAGGTACTATACCAAATTGTATTTTCACCACGGTACTGAACTTGTCTAGATGTCTCTTAATTGGTTCTGCGCTACCCTGCAAGATGTACAACTAAGACTTTTTCCATCCCTCCAGTACAATTCGAACACCCCTTTAGATCTTCAAGACTCCAACTCCACCAGAAAATTTATACCCCTTTGAATTTAGAGTACTTAGCAAGATGAGATTCCTCTTCAAGTCTGGAACATGTTAAACCTGATCAATTTTTCTAACCATCCTATCCTACAACCTCAATTTGACTTGACCGATTCTAACAATATGGCAAGATTAGTTGGTTTCCTTGACAACTCCACCTTGCTTGATAGCCTCATATGTTTAAAATAAATTCTAATTGAAACACATATGGTGTAAATATGTCGAATCAAGAATCCACTCCTCGTCAGGCTTAGACTCCACGTCAGATACTACGATCAACATTACATCACCTCAATCAGATAAATCCTTGGTAACATTAGTATCATCCATTTACACACTTCTACGATTAAATTGATCCATTTCACCATAATAATGATGATATTTGATAATTGGTTAACATTATTAAGTAACTTAAAGGGTAAGTAAATTGCCATAACAGTTTCTTTTAGTTGCGCCACTTATTATTTTCATTACAAGCATCCAATCTTTGCTTTTTATTGCACTTATGTTTTAAATTTTTTTATCATGTGTTTGTCATCAACATTCCGTTAATTATGAAATCTTATTCTTTGTTATGTTTCTATCCAAAAAGTGGTGTAGGAAGACATATTTGTCCCTCATAATTTTAAATTCACAAGTAAACAAGCATATAAAAGTGCAATTTTTCAATATCACAAACCCTACGAAATAAGTCAAAATCTTGACAAGAGCAAACAGGAGGTTAGCTCCTATTTGTTGTTTATGAGCAAGCTGATACCTATGCCTAATGATGCCAAACTCTTTGTGTGACATCCCAAATTTTCTAGTAAAGATTTTTATATTTTAGAGAGTTTGTTTTTAATTTTAGGAACTTAATTTAATGATAGAATAAATGTTATTAGGGATTGTAATTAAAATAATATTATGAGGATTGAAAATGAAATTTTATAATTGCATATTTGCCCTAGGGTTAAAGGTACAATTTTATAAACAAAGAAATATTTGCATATGTGGTCCAAGGTCTAAAAAAAAAAAATAAAAAAAAAAAAAAAAACACATTATCCTAGGGATTAGATGTGCAATTTGTGAAATTGCACAATTAACCCCTAACAAAAACTATAAATAGGGGATACTTGTGAGATTTTCCATACCTTGTTTCCCATCATTTTCACTTCTTAAGGTATGCATTTTCTTTAAGTTAATTACTATGAAAAAAAAATTTAGTTAAATTATTTATTTAGATAATTAATTAATTAATTATTTATTTATTTTAAGTACCTAGCTGGTTTATAAATAGGAATTAAAATGTGTGGTTTTAGGGTTCTTTAATGGTTGATAAAAGATAATATTATAGTTAGTTTAATTAATAAAAATAAAGGAAGATAAATTATAATTTTTCCATTTCAAAATCTTAACTTTGAAAATTTTAAAATTTATAAATTAGCTCAAGACATATTGAGTTTTAGTTTATTTTGCTTGCATTATTAAAGATTGTATAAAATACATTTGGGGGAAATGTAGTAAAGAAGAAGTGAGTAGGGATAGAAAATAACTTGGTATAATAGTTGTCAATATCATCATGATAATGGTTATGAAAATTGGGCCACTATTATATTTATATATGTAGACATGGTAAATTTAGATGGGAAGAAAGAAAATAATTAGTACTTGAGGTTTAAACTTAAATTACTTTGATCTAGTTATGTGATAAGATATGAAGAAAAATTGTTATAATGCATAATATCAATGGTGAGATATGATGGAAATGTGGTAAAGAAGATTATGGATTGAATAAGAAAATTTACTAATGGGTCTGGATGTATATATATATAATTGTGTTAATTGAAATGAAAAGTGGATCAAGTATGAAATAGGAAAATAACATGGTAGTGCATTGGGCTTAAATTGTACGTGTAATAATTTTATGGAGGTTATTTAATGACAGTAACGAGAATTTCACTTAGATTATTATTATTATTATTATTATTATTATTATTAGTAGTAGTTAATGGTAAACTAATTTCATTAATTTTTTTTAGGGTATATTATTAAGTAACGTATATTATCTTATAAGTTTAGTTTAGATGTGATAATTGGGAAATAATAAGATAAGATATGATTAATCTAGAGGTTATAGTATTAATGCAGACATCGATCAAGGAAGTCGCGTAAAAGGTAATTATGATGTTTTTCAACTACAGTACAAGATACATTAATATATGTAATTATGTGTTTATATGTGCTTGTCTCTTTTTACTATGTGATGCATACTTTTGTTATCATGCTGATTGAGTTGTCGTCGAAAATTTTGAATGTGAATCACATTATAGATGTACCATACTATTGTGTTTGAATAACTATACCGCTTGAGGCTCCTAACGGTCATTAAGGGTAGCCAAGGATAGGGTATTGGGAGTTCGGCACCTATATATACAGGCAGTGTCAAGAGGTCCCTTGGTGGCCTTGGGACTGCGGATAGGCACTTGAAGCTTTGTATATATGTGTAGGCCTGGCCTTGAATATGTATATAAGATATACTGATGGGGCATCCTGAGTCTCGATGGGCAACGACGGATGCGTTGATATTGGTTTGTGCGCAAGAAAAGTCATGTTAATTTTGAGCTTATACGGTACACTATAATAAGGATTTGGGCCATGTATGCTTGACATGCATCATCACATCATCATATTAACTGAACTCTATGGTTCACGTTTTTATATTTTGTACTATAGATGCCCCCGCGAGAAACTGAAATTGTCCGTAGCACCAGACATGCCGAAATTACTAAGGACCTCATGGCTATACATGTTATATATAGGCGTACTCACTATACACATTTTTATACGATGGTTGTCGAGGAGGAAGAGATCGAAACTTTTAAAGATGGTGAGGATTTTGTAATGGTGATGATTGATGTTTATGATTTGGTCACTTGTCGTTACGTAGATAATATAATGTATGTAGAGTAGACAACAAGGTGCCATTATGTAAAAAATAAAAAAGAAATAAAAAAAAGGTGCCTAGTAAAAGAGTGGTGAAAATGAAAGGATTTTGAGAAACTTTAACATACCGCCAAATCAGATTGCTGTAGAATAGATCTATAGGAAACTTTTGAAAAATCTACAAGCGTTTCTTTTGATCAAAATTTTTGGTAGTCATATGACTAACGGGTTATGAGGTGTATTTTGTAAAACAAAATTCTCTTTTGGTATAATATAAATTTGGCGATTCTTTTAACTCTTTATATTACTAATTTGATTTCCTTTGATGTATTATGAGTTTACTACAAAATGCTTACTTGAGTTAAAAACAAACTGTTAAATCCTAATATGACTTTAATTTAAGGGAAAAAATTAATTAATTAATTAATGAAATTAAGAGTAGAGCGTCTCACTTTGGCTCCACAGGTACCATTCAAGCAAATTATCTTAAACACAAACTCAAGCCGTCAGGAATCTTAAGAAGACTAACTCCCCGAGGAAAGCTATAATTAAAACCTTCGCGTAAAGCTTCAGACTAGTGATTATTCTCCCCCACTTTGTACAAAATACCGGTAAATTATTAGTTTTGCCTTCATCGTAACAATACTGCCCCATTCTCCCATATTACAAGAGCTAGTCTATGATCAGTATTGTTTGTAATTTGATCGATATTATATTTGCAATCAGTTCTCCGCTAGTTCATATTTGATATCTTGACTGAGGATTGAAGTTTTAGAGATGTATTAATTCAAACTACCAAATGTTTATGGAGATCTTAAGTCATTTCTTGCTAGACTCTAAAGCAATTTTAACCATTATGTATTTCAAATAACTATAAGCAATAATGCAAATAATAATCATATTTACTCTGACTATGATCCCATGTAGCATTATTTAATGTATGAACATGAAATTTAGTATGTTAACATTATCATTTAATGTCACATTACATGGGATTGTATTTGGTGAATATAAATGGCATTACTCTATTGAAAATATCAAGTCGAGATGCAAGGAAATCCAGTCCAATAATCAGTAGATCAATCACTTGCCTGTGCGTATGGTGGGAGTGGTAAATAGAAATAATCAATGTTAGGTAGGAAGGGTAAATTGAATTATTGCAGCTGAACATTTTTCAGTAATTTATTGAGTAGCGGACGGAAGTGGAAATGAGATATTTTTCATTTTCCACGTTCCTGTCTTCGCTATTGGCTGATATGTTAGGTCTGAAATAAATGAGGTTCGACCTAAGAACTCAACTCAAATACAACTCAATTAAATTATGTTTGGACATGAAACTTTTCTACACAATTTTAATCTGGCTAGATAAACATTTGACGTACACATAAGGAGAAGACTATTGATTAAAAACTCGACAATACAATATTTTTCTCATTGTTACAATTTTTTCTTATACAAAGTTAGGATGCTAGGCGTACCATGAAAACGTGTATGCATTTTTCTATTTCTCAAAGCGCTCTCTCTCATGCACAAACACCACAACTATGTGGAAATATCTCTCTCTGCTGCGTGTTTCTTTTTTATATCCGTTCTCCGAATTGCTTAATTCATTGCCTGTATTTATAACTTAGTCTCCAAGGTTTGATAAGTTTTCTTCTATGGAAATTACACCAACTCAAAAATCAGGTTTAAAAGCATTCTTATTCAGAAATCAGGTGATAATTCAACATTTCAACATTGATAATAACATTATAAAATTAAATTAATCCACATACTCACCTACCCCACCACCATCCACTCACCCCCACCCCATTTTCACTCCCAAGCCCTAAATCACTCCCCCCAGCCCCCTCTCTCTCTCACTCTCACTCTCACACGAAAGACCATGGTTGATAGGGATGAAAAAAGAAAAAGAAAAAAAGGTTTAACCCAATACTCGTGGGATCCTGCCCCGAATGGGGTGGAGATTACCCGACTAATTGGGTAAATGGGACGGGTATGAGGTGAGGGTCATTGCCCCGATGTTACACCCCATTAATATATAGTTAAAGTCAAGAAAATTATTTAGTCAAAGTCCAAAATTCATTTGGTCAAAGTCAAATAAGGACTTAAGTTGAATAAATTATTTTCATGAGGCTTAAGTTGTAATTACAAATATTTGAGGGCTAGAAATAAAATATAGGAATCAAAGGGATTTAGCTTTCTATTACTAGAAATTATAGGGCTAAAAGTTACATTACAAATTTGTGATAGTTATCTTTCCCATTACTTTTCATTTGGGGAGAATGAAGGTAAAAATAAAAAATAAAAAATAAAATATCAGAAGCAGAGAAGAAACGGGAGAAAGAAAAGGAAGGAGAGGGAGGGAAAGAAGAAGAAGAGGCTGGTTCGGAGATGGGAAATGATCGTTAAACACTTATTGATGTATGGTTTTTCAATCCCTCCTTATTTTAAAGAGGTATGTTAATTCAATTTCTAGGGTTTATGAACAATTCGCTTATAGTCAAAGTTTAGCAAGAATTAGTAGTTATTGACATGTATTTGAGGTATTAAACAAGATTATGTCAAAGAAATGTATATTGGAAGATTGGTGTTGAAGAAAGTGAAACTTTGAAAATTTGTTTATGAAATGTATACTTATTCTTTGATTTTCTTGTGATTATATGATTTCAACCACTTAATTTAAGGATTTGGTGTTTGATTCCTCCATTTTAAGCCATTTTTGAGCAATTCTAGTACACATGTTTTGTTTCTAAAATTCTGCCCTGAAAAGTGTTATTTCTATCCACCGTTTCGGTGCTAGTTTTCAATATACAAAAACAGGTGCCAGATTCCAATACGCTGGACTTTAGTGCTGTTTTTGTCAAGATTTTGTTTTCACAGATTTTACGTGTTTGAATGAAATTGAATGATGAATGTTGAAGTTTAGGCGTTGGATTAGGCAATGTATACGGTTTGTATAGTATATGTATAAGGTAGTGATTTTAAGAAATTATAGTGATTTAATGGACTTGATCATGTTAAGTAATAATTAAAGAGATGAAAAGTTTAAGAAATAGAGATGCAAGAATAAATATAGAAGTTAGAGGAATTATGTGGTAGATTTGTATTAGTTTAATTGCTAGCTTTTAATTTGAGTTATTATACCGTTCTTTCAGGTAGTGACGTGAAAGTTTGGTAATGTCCATCAATTTAATCAGATTGCTATCCATACATTAATGAGTGGAAAAATCTATATATTTCAAATATCGATAAAGTACTTATACTATTATATTACGTGTGATTGTGAATTATTTGTTCAATTAAATGATTGATATATGTGGAATTCAAAGATTGGATATGGAGTGCCTCTGAGTTGTAATGTGAGACACATGAGATATTGAGATTGGCCAGAAAAGTATATGCAATTATATACTTCTTTTAATTCACTAGGGGGCTTTAGCCGTGTTCTATACTACATAGAGGGGCCTTGACTATGGAAGAAGGGGTCGACTGTATACATATAATTCACTGAGGGGCTTTAGTCGTGTTCTAGAATTGATTATCACAGGTCTTTGAGACCCGTTTTCGTATTACGGAGGGGGCCAAAGACCCGTGTCGAAAGTGTTTAGCCCGAGCGACAGATTACAGTTCAGTCATAGGGTACATTTTTTTTGGATTTGTATTATATGGATGAGATGATATTTTATAGAGTTACGAGAATGTCTCATTTATTGGCTATAATTATATATGAAGTTTCTCGTGAATTATTAAGTAACATAAGCTCAACCATCAATAAATATATATAAATGACAGAGTATAATTTTCAAAATTTTCCTTCCACTGAGCTATCAACTCATATTTTTCTACAATTTTCTTACAGGTAGTAGTTGGTTCTTGATAATACAAGGAGCTTGATGATTTTGGAGTTAAAGCCATATGACATATTGAGTGATATGAATCATTTGGTTTGAACATGGAAAAAAAAAACATATATATATATTTTGAGTCCAATGCATATTTTTGATAAGTATCTTATTTTGGATCATAATTAGTAGTACTTCATAGTCGGGCTTGGCAGTAGATATGGCATCTAGTCAATATCTATCATTAGTGCACGTCACGTTTCGAAACCATTAGGGTGATTCGGAGCAGGCCATGTCACCAGAAGCGGGTATGGGGCAGGTATGGGAAATATAGTCCCTGTCCTGCTATCCGTCCTGTTTAAAGTTAATTTTATATTCAAGTTTTTATCAAACAAAAATAATAAATTTATCATCATTTTTAAAAAGAACATAAGTTGTTTTTGACAAATTGGTAAAAAAATAATAATATTTACTAAGGATATAAAAAATAAAATAAATAAGAAATAAAAAGAAAAAATAAATTGGGCCTTAGACCCGCCCAATCTCGATTTAGTCGGGGTATGGATATGTGGTAAGATAACAAAAATACCCGATGGGATGGAGGTGGGAATGGCTGACCCATCCCATTCCCACCTCATTGTCATCCCTAATCGTTGTGAGATCACCAAAAGACCATTATAGCGACGCTCACAATGGTGAGCATTGTTGTGCAATGATGATGGTTTTGGGGTTGTTTCTTCCATTTTTGATCTGCTGCTGAGCTGGAGTTTCAAGATAATTATGTTGTTGGTTGTAGGTGTTTTGAAAGTGGTGGTAGTGTTGGCGGTGATGGTGAGATGGTGGTGGTACTAACGGTAGTGGTGCAGGTGACGGTGTTGCTTGCAGTGGTGGTGGTGCTAGCAATTGTAGTTAAATGGCACATTGGTTTGGTGTTGATGGTGGATTTGGGTGGCTGGGATAAAAAGTTTTTGTGATCAATTATTTGAGAAATCGTAGCCAATAAATTGATTAATTTGTAATCAATAAATAATATGCGATCATACTGTGACAAATAAATAATACATTACCAAAAAAATATGAGATTGCAATTAAACTTGTAATCATGGCTCACAATTTGTTAAGTTTTAACTAATTAATTTGATAATTTGTGGCTGTGAATCGACTGTGATTTGTGGTTGCAAAATAATATGACCTATTAATTTTATAATTTGTGACCAATAAATAATTTATGACCTATAAAATTTGAAATTTGTGACCGAGAAAGTGTGACCAATTAATTTGATAATTTTTGTGACCTATAAACTTTGTGATTTATGACTACGACGTTCTGTGATTCTGACAGTAGAAATTTGTGACCATAAATCATATAATATTGTGACAGTCATATTTAATTAATACAATATTTTTACTTATCAATTTTAATTAGTAAAATTTAATTATGAAATGATTTTTGAAATTTTAAAATTGTATCTGTCAAACACGTTAGATATATATTGTTTCTTTTAATTAATAATTACGAAGGCATGATTGATAATCATGTCATTAATGAGATTGTAAATTTAACTTGGACATTTCCATCCACAGCCTCTTCGGTTTCTATATCTCCGACATTTTTCTTCGTTCTTTATCATAATACTTGGAGGAAGGTATACATCCAAAACTAAAAGAGATCAAAGGGATTGAGGAAACAATGAAGCCTCTCAAGGAAGTTTCAGAAAAATATGAGAAGAAAATGGAAGAGTTCCTTTATGGTCAAAACAAGTCGCTAGAAGACTTAAGCAATCATGTTAGTTCTCTTATTAGTACAAAGATTGGAGAATCAATTGAAAGAAATAATCCATCTCCTTGTTGCACTGCAGGATTGCCCGCAGTTGAATTTCCCAAGTTTTCTGGTGACGGTTTTGATGAATGGGTTTACAAATGCAATGAATTATTTGATTTGTATAAAACAACGGATGACGTAAAAGTTGAATTGGCATCAATTCATATAGATGGAAAGGCTCTACAGTGGCATAGAGTGAAGATAGAACTGTCACCTGTTATGAAATGGGAAGATTACACTCATCAGATGGGGTTGAAGTTTGGGGCTAAAATTCATGGATCTGGTATGGAGAACGAATCTAGAGAGACTAATACAACCCCTCTGAACAACACAAAATGGCCACGCCGCAGGATATGTAAGTTAAGAGGAACTAGTGATGAAGAGAGCCCAAAACTAAAAGAATCTTACCCGAGATTTGGTCCATTTTACCGCAACGGTAAGTCCTCGGAGTTGTATTTTAGGGGGAGGCTTGGTAGCATTTACTGAAAAACTCCACAGACAGGGCAGCGGTGACCATTGAAATTCACTTGTCTGCAATGAAAAAGATAGACAAAGAGGCAAGAGCTACCTATGACGACGGCGCAGTGGATCATTTGTCTGGACCTGAGTTTAGATGGATGATGATTAAAGATGGTTGTTTATTCCTACAACTTGTGTCGTATGTTCTTGGAGGTGCCCAGCAACTTGGCTATACTCCTAGCCATATCATATTTGGTCAAAAGAAAAATAACAGGTACAAGGAAATTAAAGATGGATTGAGGCCATGTTCTTTGTTGGAAACCAAATTCCATTCATAGTGCTCAAGGAATTAATGAAGCAAAGCTATTTCAGGAATGTAATAGAGAGAGGAAAATGGGAGGAACCGTCAGATTTGTGTAGGATAGCTTTGTATCAATTATTATTGTTGCCAGCACAATAAACTCACGACTCTAGACCATTACTGCATAGACATTCTAGCAAGGCCGGTCCTGTGATTTTCGGGGCCTAAGGCGAACTCAAAAAATTAGGCCTCCCCAAATGAGCAAAAATGCAAAATCCAACAGTGTATTATGCAACATATTGCTAATATAGAGCTACAGATTCATATTTAGGAGGCATGATGTATATCTAATGCTCAAAGATTAACCTAAAAGATAATTAGAAAATATCTCAATCATCTCGTAATTAATGGTTTCAATATAGTTAGTACGTATGCATGTGATATTGATCCTACAATAACAAATCATATAAGCCGACTATACCACAATTATGTAAGTCGACAAGGCTTGAAACATTTTCAATATATTCAATAACAAGTTGAAGCAAGCCATTGCTTACCTGAAAAGTGGAATTTCAAAGAAAATTATGAAATCACAACCTTGAGAATGCTACCATCATAACTCACAAGCCTAAAATAAAAATTTAACATTAACCACCAATACAAATATACAATTCTATTGCATTAATCTATTCTGTTTAACAGAAGCTTGAGCCAATTTAAAAACTGTAGATCATTTTAGCTAAATGTTATCCTACTAAGTAGGAATCATTTCACAAGACATTTACAATGTAGCATTATGCACAAACATGTCGTAACTTCTAGGTGAGTCAATATAACATCCACAAACAAAATAAAAATAATTTTGTATCTTGTCTCAATAGTTTATCATTTTGAGTCAAAAATCCCAACCATTGAACTATTTGACAAGAAAACTAGATATTCAAATATGTCAGTAACCAGAAACAATCATGAAGAAAATATTATATTCTGCAAATAGATAAACAACCTAACTTCAAGAATCTTACCCAAACTTCCCCGGTTAAATAATATTAGAATGGACAAAACAATAACCGAATAACACATAAGGAGGCCTTATCCTTGACACGAACAATTCCTAAATAAATTACATATCTCTTATTCAAGTTCAAACAAACATGTAAAAACAAAGAAGTATTTCACAAATAAAACTGAAAATATAACAGCTATTGAGCTCTTTAAATGATGACAACAAGATTTCAGAGTTCTGCAAGCAGTGCATCGGAATTCTAGAACTCAGCATAAAGCACACACAAACAATAAAGGCATAACTACAAGCGAAGTATAACGCATGATACTTCATCTCCAGTACATGTTTCACAGTTTCATTGAAAACTAAAAGATGCACCATTTTAATCAAAAACCACAACACAAAGCAAGAACCATGTAAACAATGTCTGAACCATATAAACAAGGTTTCAGACCAAAGGTCCAAGATAACAATCACATATCATTATATCAATCCATTTAGACAAATCAACATACACTTAACCTGTACAGACCTCCAATCTTCTGCTTCCAAGGGTAACAATTAAAAAGTTTTCCTGCTTCAATGGAATGTGTGAATGGATTTTGGCATTTTGTAAAGGGAAACAGGAGAATAGAGCTAAATTTGCTGTTAAGGTTGAAAAAAGGGCAGATTGTTGTGATTTGTTTTCTTTTGTTGTGATTTGTGAAAGAGTGAAGGGAAGGGAAGAATAAGCCACCTAACGAAATGAGGCAGTCGCATGGTCGTCGTTTCGATTGGAGTTGTGGCGTCAAAATAACGGCGTTGAGGTCGGGCAAAGTAGACCTAGGCAAGAATGAAAGTAGATTTTCCCTTTTCTTTCTTTATAAAAAATAAAAAATAAAAATTTAGCCAAAAATAGGCCCCCCACCTGTTTTGGGCATGAGGTGCAGGCCTCATCGGCCTCACCACAGGACTAGCCCTGCTTTCTAGGAAGGTATTTGCATTTAGAGTTAATTGGCTCCAACAGCCTTCTGATTCGCTCCATGGCCTGCAATTGCTAATACTGGGGCCAAAATGTGGAGAGGAGGGAAAGGAAGAAGAAGAAGCAGAAGAGAAGGACTTGGAAGGTCAGCATGAGCTAAGTAATTTGTAGGATGCTACCAATATTGATGATAAAATATCTTCGTCAACCACAGAATTGAGAAAAATTGGTATGCATTTCAGGCCTCTAAGGCGTGGTTATGGAAGCAGAGGAATTAGTTTCACAAATAGTATGTGGCGTTGCAAGGCATATCCCATTCTTTACTTGCCTCCTTTCTTGGTCAGAGATGATACAGAGTTAATGTTTCAATGTCTCAGACACTACGAAATCAATCAAAAACTTGACAAAAGCAAACAGGAGGCTAGCTCGTATTTGTTGTTTATGAGCGAGCTGATATGTACACCTACAATCAAAACCTTTGCCATGTAAAACTTCAGACTAGTGATTATTCTCCCCCACTTTGGACAAAATACTGGCCAATTATTAGTTTTGCCTTCGTTGTAATAGCACTGAAAACGGTTTACGCCATTCTCCCATATTACAAAAGCTAGTCTATGTGCAGTTGTAATTTGATTGATATTATATTTGCAATCAATTCTGTGTTAGTTTATATGTGAATTTCTCTTGCAGTTTAATTCAAATTGTCAAATGTTTATGGAGATCATAAGCCATTCCTTGCTAGACTCTAAGGCAATTTTAACCATTACATATTTCATCACACATGGGTAAGATAGTGAGTTGATTGATTTTCCAAACCATTCAATTAATTTACTATAAGAAATAATGCAAATAATAATGCTATTTATTCTCCCTATTATCCCTATTTAATGTATTAATATAAAATTTAGTTTATTAATATTATCATTTAATCACAACAACAAAAACAATATTTTGCAACATTCAAAAAATGTTGCTAAAGGTCTTTTGCAACGTTTGGACATATGTTGCAAATCTCAATATTGCCTTAGAATAGAAGCATACAGTTGCGAATAACCGTTTTGCAACTTTTTTTGAACCTTGCTAATAGCATTTTTGCAACTTTTTTTAAGCTTTGCAAATAACATTTTCGCAACATTTTTTCAGTATTGCTACAACGTTTTTTGCCTGTTGTCTATGACTGCATCCTTATTTTTTACAACATTTTGTTGACAGTTGCCATAAGTCATTTTACATTTTTTTCTTAAATTTTGTATTTTTTTAAATTTATAGAACAATTTATACAAAACAAGATATATAGAAGATAACAATATCAATTCAAATAATCATTATTAATTGACTCCAAAATGAAGCAATGTCCATACAAAATTGAGATCTAAAATTCTGAACCCAATACATTTCCAATAAAAATAAATAAATAAATTCCACAATCCCTTTTGAGCAAGGTCTCCATCAAGCTCCTTAGAAATTTTAATAGCTTCACATGTGGCAACTTTCAAGGCCTAGGAAGCAGGAATTACAACTAGCAATATTGCATCATTGTGTTCAGCATATTGAGTCTATAAAAAGAAACAGGGATATTGACGTCGGGTAGGATAGTGATTATCCTATTGGCTTATTGTAGCAGATGATTCGCAAGAAAAGAATGACAGAAAACTCCCAAAAAAACTAGAGAAAATACTCTGAATTCAACTCAATATCATTAATAATGCAGAATGATGAAAACTAACCCACAAGCCGGGTTAAATAGCTGCGAAATATGAAATTATAGGAAAATTACCAAAAATGGCAAAATCCCAAAATTATACCAAAATAAAATATTAAGTAAAAGAAGTAATTTGCCAAAAATTTTGCTCAATTCGAGTTTTCTAAGATATGAAAAAAAGGAAACGAAATATTACCATAAATAATAAAAAATAACTTAAAATTGAATTTTGGAAAGGAAAACAGTGGATTTTGAGCTCGAAATTGATGTCCACCGAGCATATCTGGGTGACTACGACGTGCACGCTGAAGAGAGCTTTCCGGATTGGGGTCATAATAGCGATTCCAATAACCGTAACCAAAGTTATGGCCAAATTATCAAAAACACGTCAAATTCCCTCAATTAAGGAAATAATGGTGATTCACTTTCCATCTTTGCGCCGATCCGCCATCTCATGGTATCTCAGCGCCATCATCGTGCTATCTGACAAATCAGCATCACTCGACTCGGATCCTCCTGCATCAGTCGCCCCGGGTTGGAAAGAACTCGCCCTCGAGTTCACAGTAACTTCATCGGATTCCATAAAACGAGGGCTTAGGTGTTTTACATTGAAGACGTCAGAGGTCTTCAAATGGCTCGGGAGGCGCAATCTGTAAGCATTATCATTAATCTTCTACAACACTTCACAAGGTCCAATCTTTCGCTCCTTTAGCTTATTGTATTCCCCAGCTGGAAAACGATCACGAGTTAATACTGCCCAAACAAAATCACCAACATCAAATAACACCTGGCGTCGATGACTATTTGCCTAAACTTTGTACTTAATATTACTATCCTGTATGGACAGTTTTACCTGCTCATGGATACCTCGAAGATGTTCAGCTATCTCATCAGCTTTGTTATTGAAGCGTCCCACACGTGGAATTGGAGCCAAATCAAGTACTCCGGATGGGTTTCGACCATAGACAATTTCAAAAAGACTCAGTCCGGTGGTTCTATTCCTCGACCGATTATAAGCAAACTCTGCTTAAGGTAATGCCAATTCCCACTGCTTCGATTTAGTCCCGGCTAAGCTTCTCAAAAGATTTCCCAAACTCCGATTCACCACCTCAGTTTGACCATCTGTTTGGAGATGGTATGCACTGCTAAAATTCAATTTCGTTCCAAGTTTCTCCCACAAACTTCTCCAGAAATGACTCATAAACTTAGTGTCACGATCAGAAGTAATTGACTGTGGAACACCATGTAAACGCACAATCTCTCTGAAATAAAGATGAACAATCCGAGTAGCATCCATTGTCTTTCGGGAAGTCACAAAATGAGCCATCTTTGAAAATCTGTCAACCACAACAAGAATGGAATCCATCGCTCGCTGTGTTCAAGGTAAGCCCCAGACAAAATCCATACTGACATCAAACCAAGGAGCTTCAGGTACGGGTAATGGTGTGTACAATCCAGCATTAGTAAGAGCCCCTTTAGACCGCTGACATACATAACACCGCTCCACATAATGTACCACATCACTGCTCAACTTGGGCCAGTAATAATCAGAAGAGACCAATGCTAATATCTTGTCTCGCCCAAAATGTCCTTCGTTATGAAGTTCACTAATAATCTGCTGCCTTAGTGAACAATCCGAAATG